TATCTTTTCAATGCTTAATTTTCGGTTAATTTAACTATTTTATAACAGAACTAGGATATATAAACATATTTATATATAGGATATATAAAAAAGCTTTTATATATTCTGTTGATATGCATAATAATCATCACAAAATTAAGGGCCAAAATGCGTTTTAAAGTCCGAGCGGTCCAATGACATTTTGCTCATTACAACTCTACCTAAGCATGAATTATATGAAGCTGCCAACATTCTCCTTTAGTTAACCATAGTTAACGAATAGATGTATACTTACAGATAGTAAAAAAAAACCTGTACCACTACAACCCATAAAGGGTCTGGGGTTCAGTGTTATTTAGGGAAAGCACTGTTTCTAGGTCCACGGTTGTGCAAGGAGGTGATTTGACCGAGATCACGCTCAACCGCCATGTTTTCCCCCCTAATTAATTAATTATTTAATTAAGGGTACCCACTTTATAGAGGCTGGGTGTGCCCCAGGAGGGACTCCTGACCCAAGGTCGCCCCATGGCTAATGAAACAGATAAATAAATTTTCTGGCATGAGCCGGGGTTCGAACTCGGGACCTTTGCATTGGAAGCTCAGTGCCCTACCACTGAGCTAGCCCGCTCCCTACAGATAGTAAATAGTTTTGTTATATTTTTCTTTTTTAAAAAGCACTGTTTTAACTCCATTTTTCTTACATTTTATTCATTACCCTTGTTTAATTCCAATATAACGGCCAGGGCCGTTATTGGCAGTGACAAGTGGATAGATATAGGTTATTCAACGATACAAACATGACGATGGTCCCGGTCTATAACAATTATACATTATAACAACGAAATTTACCAGGTCTCTTAAGATCGTTATATTAATCCACTGTGTATTAATTCCAATTTAAAAAGAATATTTTCGAATTAAAAAAAAATTCCCTGACTTTAACAATTTTCTCCAACTTCTCCCGGTTTTGAAAATTCCCTGATTTTTCCAGGTTTTCCCAGTTTTCCAGGTCAGTCGCCAACCTGTAGGTAGAGAAATCATACCAGGCTAATGCAATGCAGTGCGATTAATCTGCTCAGCACATGTTGAACGCAGACTTCAGTCATTGCTCTGCCGGTCTTGTTGGCCAGGAAGGCAACCACTATAGGGAAAGTCCAAGTTGGACTGGTAGCCAGTCATATCTGAAAGAAAGTTGGATACAGCGCTGCTTTTGGTGTTGGGACTTTGGACATCTTGCCAGACAATACCATTGACCTGATAGAACAGAGTGTTGTCACAAATGTGGTGGAGAGGGACATCTAGCCAACGACTATGCCAATAGCCTTATCTGCGTATTATGCTCTGGTAGGGGTGAAAAGGACTACAACTGTAGTGGTTGCAAATGCCTGGCATTGGAATATGCCCTGCAAACACAACAAAGGAGAACCAGAACTAACATTGCATGACAGACTTTTGGTTGCATATTTTACTCCTAAACCTACTGGACCGACAACGGAATGCCAATTATGACTTACAACTGCATCAATACCAAATTTACGTATAACTATTTTATCAGCCTCATGCATATCCTTTAATGAACTTCCTTGTTCATATAACATATCATGTTCACTTGCTATGCAGTCATCGGAATCAACAGGTTCTTTACTATAATCACTTTCACCTGGACCAAAATAATTATGTGTTTTCCACATCAATTACCAAGAACTTGTCAGAATGTATCGTAGTCTATAGTAGGGTTAGGATCCCTCTTGTCGTCAGATGAAAAGCTTGACATATGTGAATCAAACATACAATAAATAGCATCTAGTAATATGAATATTAAATACCTTACTATATAAATGCATACGTAAGGGATAGCATTCACAGTATGTTCGACTCACCTAAATCAGTGAGAGAAATGTTCATTCTACCAACATACCGGGTGGTCAGCCGATCCCTGGATTGGTGCAAACCATGGCCACGTCGCATATTACCTGGAGTGCCTTATCCTATGATTTGCCTGACAGTTCCCAAGGTGTCTCCATCTTTACTTGGAATGTGTCCTTCTCAAACGTCTTAGTTCTCCAATGAGTCGCATGCCTGTCTTGCCTATCACTTCTTCTTGGTGCCAAGTCTCCCAAGGTGGTGAGGATAGCCTGGTGGTCACTGTGGGTGTATACGTTGCAGACCTACCAACTGGTAGTTGAGAGAAGGGTTTCACTAAGAAATGTCAAATCAATTATTGAACTCCTGTTTCCTTTCACTAATGCAGGCTCTGCCCCTGTGTTTGCCAGTGCTTGGTCCTCCAATTGGGCAAAGGTTTCTTGTAGAATTTCTCCTCGCCGGTTAGTCGATTGACTATCCCACTCTGTCAGCCAGGCATTGAAGTCTCCTGCAATCACAACACGCCTTAGCGTGTTCGACTATGCGATCCAGGAAATCTGAGAATTTCTCAATTGTGATGCGTGGTGGAGCATAGCTGCTATACAGGCCCTTTATTCTTGAAAAGGCAAACCCACTTGCAGGAGCTTGTGCCATTTCCTGTATAGGATGCCAGCAACATTTCCAAATTGCAGCTCTTTCTGTGGTATCAGATACCCAGGAATTGTCCAAGTTTTTTTACTGCTCACTTAGGATGGCGATGTCAACCCTTAGTTCTTTAACAGTCAGCCAAAGGAGATCCTGAGCAGCCTCGCATTGGTTCTCCTTTGTTGTTTTTGTAGAGAATGCAATGGTGGACATTGCCTACCACTGCAGTTGTAGTCGTTTTCACTCCTACTAGATATATAAATCTAGGGCTGTTGGTACAGTCGTTGATTAGATGGCAGTCTTTATCCCATTAGCGACAACACTTTGTTCTGTCAGGTCCCTGGCAGTGTCTGGCAAGATGCCTGAAGTCTCAACTCCGAAAGCAGCGCTGTAGTCAGACTTTCTTTCGAATATGTCCGGCTACCAGTCAAACTCCCGTTTTTCCCGCACTCTAAATCATGATCTTAACGCCTGTACCACTTTTCACAAATATCAGGAGCGTACGTACAAAAATATAAATAATTGGCATGGAGACGATCTTACTTGGCCAGACTCCCTTAAGTAATAGATTTAATCGAATTGTCATCATCATCATCATTCTCTTTTACCGCTTAAGCAGTTGTCTCTTGAAGCTAGCTGGATCTCTCCTGTGCCGCCTCTTATCTCTTTTTGCATTCCAGTCCACAGCTTCCAAAAAGAATTTCACACGCTTTCTTCCCAGTAGATTTTGAGTCTCCCTTTCGATGCCATTTTAACTTGTTTTCTTCTAAGATGGTAGTATTGTGAATTATATGTTGGCTGGTATTCCTTAACACCTCCTCGAGGTATCGCATTTCTAGGGACTGAATCTGGCTCCTATTCTTTGAAGTGAGGGTCCATGAGTGGTATGCATATTTGTTCCACTTTTCTAAACTATTCCCATCCCTCACAACTTGTTCTATGAGATCAGAATCTATTCCTTGAAGCTTTTTAAACTGTTTTTCATATTACAATAGGGGAAAGAGCCTATTATAAAAGCTATTGACCTCAATATATGCATTAAAAATAAAAAAAAAACAAGATTTAATGCTGTTACTTGGTGTTAATGCTATTATTCATCTAAATTTATAAATTAATTAATTAATTGGCAATATCACATAAATAAACAACACAACCAACTTGAATATTAGATTTAATTCAAAACAAATAATAATTATAGGATATCTTAACAAATATTCGGTTGGCAAATAAATCCTTTCTGTTTTTCAGAGTGTAATAAAACTCAATGTATTATAGAGATAAAATTTATTTTAATGTAATTTAATTAAGGAAAAAGTCATATTAAATAATGGTCAAATATATTGACCATTATTTAATATGACTTTTTCCTTTCTTTCCACTAACTGCATAATGCTTATGTTCATAGAATGTCTGGATTTTATCGTTAAAAAAGTGATCCAAGTAGTTTTTGATATCCTCTTCCTTTTGAAATTTCTTTCCATTCATGGATTTCTGCAGAGACTGGAATAAATGGTAGTCACTTGGAGCTAGGTCTTGTGAATAGAAAAAGTGGGTAAAAGGTCCCATCCAAGACTCAATAATTTATTGCAAGTGACCAATGAGGTGTAGGGCCTAGCGTTGTCTTGGTGGAACACAACATCCTTACGATCGTTCATAACTCTTCTAGATTTTCTCCAAAGTTGATGTTACTATATCCGTTGGAAAGCTAAATTATTACTCTTCAAACCCATATGAATGGTTTTTTGATTTAATGCCTACATAAAGAATAAATAAACAAAAACTCCTTATAGGTTTTTATTTTTTATCTCCATTTGTTTATGAAGGTCCTGTTGAGGTCATTTTGTGTAGTTTATATGGCTCTAAATTACAGCTAAATTTCTTGTAAAGAGCAAAAGTCGTATTGAAGTTATAAACTTTTTTGAGATTTTAGAAAAAAAAAATCATGTGAGGGATCCAGACATTAAGCCTGGAAACATAGCCGAGCTTGTGCAAATGGTTTTCTATGCTAGTGTGCGACACAGTTAGGGCCATAGCAATCTCTCACTCAGATTGGGTGGGATTCTGATTAACAATGGCCTTAACATTGCTCGTTTCAATTCCATGTTGGCAACCAGACCGTTGAGCATCATTGGTGTCAAAATTTTCTCAATGAAATTTAGCAAACCAATTTTGACAGGTGTGTTCAGTTAAGGCATCATCTCCATAACCACTGCTAATTTTTCTATGAGTTTCTGCAGCACCCTTATCTTTTTTTAAAATAATACAAATAAATATGCCGATAATGAATGATAATTTCTTCCATATTCACAGTGCAATAACAAACACAATACTGAGCTAGTTTCAACAAGAGTTAAAATAGTTGTTGACATATTACAAACAGGATAAACAATCCATCTTAGGGATCAATTCATCAGATAAGAAATGTATCACAAATGGGACATAAAAATAAACAGAAAAACTGAAAGGACTTATTTGCCAATCCAATAAGAGACAATATAAAATAAATAACAAACCTTCGAGCTCTATCAAAGCCGTTGGAATAGAGAGTAATTTCACCAATCATAGCATAATCAGGTACCATCATGGCAACAGTTCGGAAAAGAACTTTCAGATTATCAGGCAACTCTTGTCTACCAGCATAACTGAAAATTTAAAATTCTTTAATTATTTAATTAAGTCATGTTATATTGTTAAGTAAAACAAAAGAAAAGAAAAAGACCCTGGATTCATGGTAATAAAAACGGTGCAAGTAGGATTCAAAGATAATTCAGTTCCTTCAAACATAAATTTTTTCTTTTTTTGTATAATTGCCATTTGAATGCTTAATATTTGTTGAGCAATTACAGACAACACTTCAAGTTCAATCCTGTTAAATTCATCAAAGCAAGCCCATGCACCAGCCTGTGCAAGTCCCTAATTTAAAAAAATCAAAATACTATTAATGATATTAATGATGACAGGTTTTCTAAAGTTTATTTACAAATAATATAATAAAATGAAATTTCAAATATATTATCTGTTATATCATATCATCAGTTAGTTGCAAAGAGTAACTAACAAGGGGAGGTTATGGACATGGGGTCACTGATTTCAATGAAACTTTTGGTGATACTAGATCAAAAAATATTAGACTTATGTGTACTTAGTGTAACTATATTTGATAAATGAAAGGGTTTGTGTCGTTTCTATGCAGTTACGATGTTTTTGTATAGATAAATAATGTATAAATTTAAAAAAGCATATTTGAAACTTAACCTATATCAAAAAAGCACTTACAAGAAGGGAAGGTTATGGACTTGGGGTGACTTCAATGAAACTTTTTTTGGTAATACTAGACCAAAAACTATTAGACCCATGCCAATGTGCCCTAGGAGCTGAGAAAAAAAAGTCATATAAAATTGTATTGGCTTTTTATGTCACTGTTTTCTAATTTTACTCTGCATGGATTTATTTATAAGTTATTAGATATCAACGATTTGTTTTTTTGTGTGAAATAAGAAAAACATATTGCTAATTGTATAAAACGAGTTCTGCGCATGCGTTAACCTTACACATATACTCTTTATTTCGTCTCTTATTAAGTGACTTTATTAACAGTGAAATAATTCATGTTATATGTGAAAAAGTAGTGTAAACTGTTAAGTTAACAATTAAGTTGAAACTGGACATAAACAAGGTGAGTAATCACTTATTTATAACGGCATTGTGAACAGTGTAAATAGACCTGAGGATAGTGATAGATAACAAGCCGGCCATATACATTCGTTAATCCGACCAGTGGGCTGCTGCCCTTTGGCGGAAGCAGATCTACGTTACTTAAACTTCTACAAACTCGCGTAATATATACGTAATTGATAAAGGACATTTTTTTTTTTTTTTTTTCAAATTATTACAGTTACCTCTAATTAAATTAATATGAGATGCGCTATTTTCATATGGTAATGTCGAGCAAAGGTAACAGAGAACCACCGGGTACACTATGGACCAAGGGAGCATCGGTTGGAAGCCATACCTAGCTTTTTGCCTTAACCGGCCTCCAACCTTACTCCCTGGACCGGGTACACCACCAAGAATGCAGGCACACAACAGGTGCCCACGGAATAAGACAACTACTACTACCATAACTTCCGTCCACTCGCTACACATTGTACCAGAAGATAGCCTGGACAACGCCAAGGCTAGCTGAACACTGGTGTCGTGCAGCGAGTATTCGTAAACACAACGACCACTACGACCGCCACGGCCGAACAGTGCAAGCACTCTCGCCGTCCACCCATAGCGCCGCCGGGGCTCCGGCGACGCCCCGTAGTACCAATTTGGTCGGGAAGCTGCTTCCCTGACCTCAGAGCACGATTGGTATCAGGCTCCGCAATCAATAGATCGCTACGGCTTTACATTGCCTGCCGATGTACAGGAGGATGCCTGCACCTCCGCAGTCAATGAGGGACACGACTCAAACCTAAGGGTTCGAGACGATGACCGTCCCCGGGAGCAAAGGTAACAATCGAACTTTAAGATCTAGGAGTCTCGATACCACAAAGAGTTCACCCATCAAGAAAAGGGCTAGACGCTCTAAAAAAAAAAAAAAATACCCCGCCAGCTACACCAGAGAGCTCAGTTGATGAAGTTGAAAATCAACCTGGCACATCATCACAAAATATGTCAACACAAGTTATACCAATACAAGGTACGCTAGAAGAATCGCCTTTTTTTACAGCTAATCCATTCCAAGTGCTGTCAAACACACAGAATGAACAAATGGAAGCAGTACCCATCCCTAGTGAACCTAAACCTCCACCAATATTCGTTAGAAATATAAAAAATTTCCAATTAATGTGTCAACAATTAAATAATATAGTGGGCTCAGGTAAATACGTATGCCAAAGCCGCACTAATGACACGAAATTAATGCCTGACACCCCAGATATGTACAGAAAAATTGTCAAGTATTTATCTGACACTAAGGCGGATTATCACACATATCAACTGCGCCAAGAGAGAGCGCTCAGGGTGGTGATCAGGAGATTACACCCATCAACACCGCTGGATGCCATTAAAGAAGAACTAACTGAGATGGGGTTCCGTGTTCGACAAATAGTGAATATATTCAAGGAAGATAGAGAACAGCCTGGTACAAAAAATAAAATACCGCTCCCACTATTCTTCGTTGACCTTGACCGAACGCCCCAGGTCGAAGAAATCTACAAGGTCACACGCCTTTATTACACTAGCGTTGTTGTAGAAAAGCCCTACACTAAGCGCGACATTGTACAATGCCATAACTGCCAGGCTTATGATCATACGAAACGCTATTGCCACCACATTCCTAGATGTGTCAGGTGCGGTGATCAACATAAAACTGAGGACTGCCAGAAGTCCAGAAGAACACCAGCAGTATGTGCTTTATGCCACCAAGGGCACCCAGCGAACTACAAGGGTTGCCAAACATATAAGGAACTGAAAGCAAGAATTTATGCAGCTCCAAGAGAAGAACGGCCATCCAGGCCACCAAGACAACCCTCTAGAACTGTAAATACAAGAGTGTCCTATGCTCAGATGTTCAAAGGAGACACTGCACCCACACAAACTCAGGCCCCGCCACAAGAACCTCAACCTCGAGTATTCACATCTCAACCACAAGACCCTTATCCCATCTCTGAACCTAGGCCTAATAACCAGACATTCATTCCTCCTCCTCCCAATGCCACTGACCTCACAAGCCTATTGACTTCTTTCCTCTCTGAATTCAGGTCACTCATCACTCCTCTCATTTCCTTGCTTACCAATGTTGTATCCAACCTCATCCCACTGTCGAGAAATCCTTAAATGTCCCCAATCAAATCCCTCTCCGTTCTCCTTTGGAATGCGAATGGTATTCGAAATCATGTCAACGAACTAACAATCTTATTACAGGACAAAAACATTGATATAGCATTAATAACTGAAACTCGACTTACCAACAAACGACCACTTAACATCCCCAACTATCATATCTATCGAACCGACCATCCTGATGGAACAGCACATGCTGGCACTGCCATAATTATCCATCAATCCCTTTCCCATCATCTATTCCCTTTGCTAACCCATAATTTCCTACAATCCACTGCCGTGATAATCCAAACTTCCCTTTACCCAATAGCAGTAGTCGCAGCATACTCCCCGCCTAAAATACCCATCTCAGAATCCCAATTAACTTCCTTCCTTAACTCCTTAGGACACCACTTCCTTCTAGGTGCAGACTTAAATGCTAAACACCAGCAATGGGGAGCCAGAACCACAAATTCCCGAGGACGAACATTGCTATCTGCACTTAATTCCCATCACAGCAACATCCTCTCACCCAATTCTCCCACATACTGGCCAACAGATCCTAACCGCAATCCCGATCTCCTAGATTTTTTCATCCACAAAGGTCTAGGGTCCCTTCATTATTGCATCTCAAGACTTGATGATCTTTCCTCAGACCATAGTCCCCTAATCCTAACGGTCTCCACATCACCAATTCCCAAACCACCTCCACCTTCATTTATCAGGGGGCCAGTTAATTGGAACCTCTTCCGTCAAATACTGGATGATAATATTGACCTCAGAGTTTCCTTAAAAACACCCGCAGACCTAGATGAAGCAGTATATTCCATGACTACCTTGATCCAACAAGCAGTTTGGACTGCATCTTCACCTTATCCTTCTAAAAAATACCGCAAAATAAATCCTCTACCCCAAGACCTACTGGACCTTATTAATAGAAAACGATGCTCTAGGACCATCTGGCAAAGAACCAGGCATCCTGATGATCGGAAATCATATAACTATTATTCCAAGCAGGTAAAACAAAAACTGGCTACGTTTAGATCACAATCCTATAATTCCTATCTTTCCTCACTATCTGCAAGTGATAACTCCCTCTGGAATGTAACTAAAAAAATCCTTAAATTCCAATCCATTTCCCACCCCCTCCGCCGTGATGATGGTTCCTGGGCTTCGTCAGATGAGAATAGAGCAGAAGAGTTTGCTAAACATCTATCGTACACATTCACTCCTCATCCTGAACTCCATCCCTCCCATACTGCTGAAGTTAAAGAATTCCTCTCTTCACCGATTCCTCTCTCCTTACCTCCTACAGCCGTCAACTCCTCTGAGGTCAAATTCCTTTTAAAGAACCTAAAACCTCGCAAATCTCCAGGACACGATCTCCTTACTTCCCAGATCCTCAGACAACTTCCCAAAAAAGCAATTATATTCCTTACATACCTATTCAACTGTATCCTCCGCACAACCCACTTTCCTCTGGTGTGGAAACACTCCATAATTATCCTCTTTCCTAAACCAGGTAAACCTGTTAATTGTACATCATCCTATAGACCGATAAGCTTACTTCCGATCCTTTCCAAAATCTTTGAGAAAATCCTTCTCAAACGCATCCTACCCATACTCGAATCCCACAATATCCCTTCTCATCAGTTTGGATTCCGCTCAAGACACTCCACTGTCCAACAAGGCCTTCGCGTTGTGGACCACATATCCTCTGCACTTGAAAACAAGCAATATTGCACTGGTGCCTTACTGGATGTAGCTCAAGCTTTCGACCGGGTGTGGCACGATGGCTTGCTTTTCAAGCTCAAAACCCATTTACCTCAAGCCTTGTATCTAGTCCTCAAATCCTACCTTTCAAATCGCTCCTTTCAAGTCCGCTGCGGCACTGAACTCTCCAAACATTATCCAATTGAGGCTGGTGTCCCACAAGGCAGTGTCTTGGGCCCAGTTCTCTACATCCTTTTTACCGCTGACATCCCTTCAAGTCCTGATACCTTCCTAGCAACATTTGCTGATGATACTGCCATCCTATCCTCCCACTCGGATCCTCTAATTGCGTCCCGGAACCTGCAAAGACACCTCTCCTTCATTGAGCA